ATTCAATACAAACAAACAAACAAATCTTTCCTTTTTATAATATTAAGTATAGATAGTATAGTTATAGAATTATAGATTAGTATAGATAGAGATGACGACAAATCGAGGCTGTAACATTTGAAGCCAGCGTCAGCTTCACTTTTCATTCGCGTAACGCTCCGCCTTCATTTTTCTCGTAAACGCCCAACAAACTTTTCTAATAATGTACCCAGTTAAAAGTGTCCCACCGCTAATTGCGATATAAATTTTCCGGGTTACTCTAAAAAACCTCACCGGGATGAGTTACGGGTTGAGATCGAGGGAGATTAAGAGGAGAAATGAGATTGAGATGAGGAAAAATGCGGAACTTCGCTTCGGTTTTATTTGATCGACTTGAAAAAATGAAGGTTCCGTTCGTGACTTATGCGTTACGCGACACACTTGACCTTGACTCTGTAACTGATAACTTGGAACATCTAAGGCTTTTGAAACTCGATAATAATTTAATTAGAAGGAATGTAATGGAAAGTCTATTTTTAAATCATTTGACGTATCCCAACTATGGACGCATTGGACGCATAGTAATAATAAAATAATTTATTGCCTTTCACAATAAATAAAATAAAATATAAATTAAAAGAAACGAAAAAAAGAAAAAGGCAAAAGGAGAGAGTTGGTTTTTTACTGGTGGCAGGACCTCTTGTGAGTCCGCACGGGTAGGTACCACCTATAGGCCTATTTCTGCCGTGAAGCAGTAATGCGTTTCGGTTTAAAGGGCGGGGCAGCTGTTGTAACTATACTTGACGTTGTAACTTATATCCCAAGGTGGGTGGCGCATTTACGTTGTAGATGTCTATGGGCTCCAGTAACCACTTAACACTAGGTGGGCTGTGAGCTCGTCCACCCATCTAACCAAGTAGATAAAATGAACAGCGCTGATTTACAGTCACCCCCATTCCCCTTTGGTTCTTTGCGGGAATCAAGGCTAGGTACGTGTGTACAGACTTAGATGTTAATGAAAAAAACAAAAAAAATTAGCCCTCTGAATTCGACTCTCTGGTTTTTCGACATGACACAGTCAACATCTGTACAGTCGTGCTATTTCGCTTGGAAATTCAACAAGTTCGTTAAATGATCTATATTAAATAGAACAGTGTTATCCTATACAAAGAAATCGGTAGGCAGCGGCTTGGCTCCGCCCCTGGCATTGCCGATGTCCATGGGCGATGATAACCACTCACCATCAGGTGGGCCGTATGCTTGTCTACCTACAAGGGCAATGAAAACAGAAAAATCTATTTAATATATAACTCGCGTTCCACATTTAAAATTATATTCATAATTTCACATTCGTAAGAAAATATTCACCCATCCAAATGCTGACCACGCCTAACGTTGCTTGACCTTGATGAACACACTGTTTTCCTCACCCGATTTTATTTAAAACTATTATTATGGGTTCGACGAACTCTATCCAAAGTCTTCATATAGATGATTGACTCGTAGAGCACCGTTTTCTGGTGATGATGCGTATTGTGTGTCCATACGTGCCGGCATTATATTCCTGCCTATTACTACCACGTGTATAGCATAACTGTTATAAGATTTGAGACAGACCTCATACTTTACGGTGGCATTCGCGTTAGGTTTTCTTTGGACTCCTGTGACGACTTAAGACCAGGTGAGCCGCGAGCTCTACTATCCATTTAGTAAAACGAAAAGATGAAATACTGTTTTATATTATAGCATATATTTCATCTCCATTTAAGAAAAATCTAGAACTCACTTAAAGCATATCAAAAGCTTTCCGAACCTATTAACTTTAAAAGCCTCTGGCTCGTTAACCGGTCAAAAAAGGGAGTTGAAAAAAAAGAACCGGGTATCTCCTAAACGTTCTCGGCTCATATTTTTCCACCCTAGTTGGACACTTTTCATAATTACCGAGCGCCCCGCACCCCCCACCCCTTCGACTTGAAAAAAGTCATTAAGAACAGTTTCTAACAAGATGTCTTTTTAGTAATTAAAAAATGTGTTTCAGCAAATATGATTGGACTTTTAACTTTACGATCACGGATGGTAAAGCCAGCTACTAACCAAAATTAACATCACAATGATTTACTAGAGAAACAGATGTACATATATTGCGTTTGAAAAAAATCTGCGCCTGCTTTTGTTTCACATAATATATTAAAAAAAGCAATTGCCCATTTTAAATTATATTTAAAGACTGGCAAAACGACCAGTATATACATAGTCTGTATTAATTAAAAAAATAAAAAAAAGTCGATCTGTCAAATTTAAATAAGACGGTTCTAAATTCAAAATTGACATTGACCAACACGACACACGTTCCCGTCTCGACGTAAAAAGTATATACATTAAAAGAGGCCGCATCGCTTAAAATACTTTTGATATACTTTTACGAGAAAGAAAAAAAAAACACAAGAAAAAAAAAAGTACCAACACATGTCTTGAACGTCAAAAGTCGTCTCATTTTTAAAAAGGGAACAACGTTTTGCTGCGTCAGTATGAACTCTTATCAGTACTTTCAAATGCGATTGGAATATCAACTTAATGTGGTTGGTATTACTGTAAATTTTCGTTTGCAGTGTAACCAGTGTATATTATCTTTTATTCGAGTAAAAACACCCTACATCTGAATTTCAAATTGGGCTATCGTCCATTTTTGTTTGTGATTTTTTCGTAAAAGCGGTGCAATAATAAATCTCTTCGCAATAACTATAAATTCATTGCAGATCGACATGCAAATGTTGTAGTTTTTTTTTTTTAAATGTACATTCGAATTTTGAATCGTGCCTTTTGTGTTTGGAACATCGGCCTCGTGGAGAAGATCCNCACCCTACATCTGAATTTCAAATTGGGCTATCGTCCATTTTTGTTTGTGATTTTTTCGTAAAAGCGGTGCAATAATAAATCTCTTCGCAATAACTATAAATTCATTGCAGATCGACATGCAAATGTTGTAGTTTTTTTTTTTTAAATGTACATTCGAATTTTGAATCGTGCCTTTTGTGTTTGGAACATCGGCCTCGTGGAGAAGATCCTAATGTTTTTTTTTTCTTATTTTTATTTTTGCGTGGGTGCCTCAAAATGTGTAAACAAGGATATCTATTTAATCATGTAGTGTGTAGCAGTTTGTTTGTCATTCACGGTTAAAGTATGTAGTAAGAAACTTTCGCTCAAGTTGACTTCGAACTAGACCAAAATAACACTACTAATACCTATTTTTCGTGCACCGATTTTTGTGTATGCAATTTCTAATTTTTTTTATTTTTTATATTTTGTATAGATGGGAGGACGAGCTCACAGCCCACTTGGTATTAAGTGGTTACCGGAGCCCGTAGACATCTACAACGTAAATGCCGCCACCCAGCTTGAGATATGAGTTCTAAGGTCTCAGTATAGTTACAACGGCTGCCCCGCCCTTCAAGTTTCTGTCTACTGCTTCACGGCAGAAATAGGCAGGGTCGTGGTATTCACAAGAGGCTCTTAAATAACGCTCATAAAAGTAACTTAAAACACTAGGCTATTTCTGACAAAGTTATTCATTTTTAATATGCGTATTTTTTTTTATATAAAACAAAACTATTTTAATTTATTAATGACATCGACTCCATCGAACTCTGTTTTGAAAAGATCAAGTACAAATCTTGTGTACGTTGCGATTTTTTTATTTTTTTATTTTAAATTGTTGTTCCATCCGTCGTAACGCGATGGGCGTCGGTTGTATTTATTTTTTAAATTTCGAACACCCACCTGTCTTTCTTCGATTGTAATGTTAGTTTCTTCATATTATAGCCTTTTTTTTAAATATTACCTAACTGACGCAACGTAATGTATCTATCATTAATAATCTTGATGATAAGATCAATTGAAAGTTAAAATAAACCTATTGAGTTTAAGAACTTCTATGTTATCGAAATAACGAAATTAAATTTAAATTAATAATAAAAAATATATTACACTAAAATAGCTGACCCGGCAGACTTCGTAGTGCCTCAATCGATAAATAAAAGACCTAAGCTTTTGTATAAAATAAACTTAAAACAAACAAAAGGAATCCGTCCGACGGCGACACATCAAAGGGAAAACAAAATTATTATTTTTATTTATTATAATTCCGAGCATTTTTATTCATTTATCTACCTTTTAAACCTTCTCTGGACTTCCACAAATAATTTGATACCAAAATTAGCCAAATCGGTCCAGCCGTTATCGAGTTTTAGCGAGACTAACGAACAGCAATTCATTTATATATATATATAGATATAGATAATAGTTTTTTTAGATTAAACAGAATATTTCCATTCCAATTGCTTATATATACAAATAATTTTGAGTACGTAACGCGAGCATAGCATTAAAAATGTCAGTACTTAATACATACATTCCTTGGCGAAATTATTTCTCCATAAAACGATTCAAAGTAACTGTCTCAGTAAAAGCAGATGCACCTCGAATGAAGGCATACGCTTCCTGGATCATACACCACCTTGTAAGCAGATGGTCACGGTTGCGATGAAGGCAAAAAGTAACATTAAAACAAATTCTCATCGCTCGAGGCGTTTAATCGGAATACGAAATCTATTTGCGCTACATTTCCTACAGATGAATATTCATAAAGAAAAAAAAATAACCTAGGCTTTACAATGGCGTTTCCTTTGCCGCCCATCGGCTGTGATATCGCGATAAAACATTTGCATTCACACCTTAAAGCTAGATTAAGTTGAAAAAGTTTGAACTCACCTTCAAAATGAATAGTTAACTTAATAAATACCCCTTTTAGAGTTCGCGCTGTAACGATTTTTTATGACGATTTCAAATTCACGCAAAAAATTAATAAACGGATTTTAGGAAAATAAAATTTAATGTTTACAAAATAAAAAAATAAAAAACATAGGATCATTCAAAATTGAATTAGGAACGTCAATGAAAATGGCGACAACGCGACCCCTACTCTTGGAAGATAACAATACGCATTGAAACAGATGCCAACTCACTCGCTGAAGTGTCGACCAGCATTCCTCCAGCGTTCTCTCGCTAATGCTCTGTCCGGATCTCGCTTGTTGCTGTGAGACAAAACAAACGCGTCACGATCGACTTTCGAACGACTAACGAGCATTTAGTTACGATTTTAAATTTTGAAACTATATAGATTTAAATTAAGAACGTATTTAAACGTATCCTTTGTTCTTTTCATTCGAAATATTCACGTTATTATTCAAAAGGTAACAATTCTCTTTTAAAACTTAGTTTCCAAAAGGTTGAAAGCGATAATTTTTGTTATGTTTAAAAAAAATTAAAATTACCAAAGGTATTTTTGAATGTTAATTTTGAAAATAATTGAATTTCGGTAATCCAATTATTGTTTAAGTGAATTCAATTATAATTTTACGAGAGATGTTGTGTACCCTTTATGTTTATGTTCTTTTAGATGTTTTTAACGTAATTGTTAAAACTTTTTTTTTTAATTGAATGTAATTATTTTTTTCCTACTTAGTCGCTGGTATCCTATGGTACTATTCCAACTACGCTCGGCTTGGTAGATGAGCTCAACCAGAGAGGTTTTGCTAATATTTGCCCAAGCAAGAGCAGTGCTTCATTGAATCTACTACCGGATCGGAATCGCGACCCACTAAGGAGATCCGGCAAAGAACTCCGCGCGTTCTGCCTGTTAGTTAAGTAGCACGTCAAATCCTTCGTCGCATTCGGCGACTTAAATGTCAAACGCGACCATAATGGTGTAGGCCATTTTGAAAATTTAGTACTTTTAGTACATATGTAAAATTATACAATATATAGATGCTCTCTCTACAGTAAACGCTAGTCACAGTGAAGCTTCTATTAAAATCTACTGGATACATAAAAATACGTTCCTTTAATTTGAAAAAAAAATATGGAAATTTTTCATTCATTTCATATTGTTCTATGAGCATTACTTGCAATCAAGAAGATCTTAAGAGAAGTGGCCAAGTCTATGAATTCTATGTCTAGAATAAAGTCAAACAAGTTCTGCCTGTTTCTTTTTAATCTTAACGTAATAATAAATATTTTGTAAATTATCAAAAACCGCCAACCATTCTATTATTTCAGTTCCAAAGAGTGAGAAATCAGAAAAGTTTTCTTAATTATTGAGATGTTAAGTCATTAATGGTAGTTTTAATACTCAATTGACTTTAAAAAATAATGCTCAGTTTCATTAACTTTCCCAAGTTGATGATTATGATCTCAGGCAACCGCTTACAGCGGGTTGGCTGTGATTTCGTTCGTCCATCAGTACAATAAAAAAAATATTATATAATCAGAGTCATAAATGTTACATAAAGCTATTCTCAAATCGTTTTTAGGTTCTACCAAAAAAAAACAGGCAGAATCCATTTTACTAAAAAAAAAAGTTACGGTATTTTGAAAATAGAAAAAGTTTTCGTTAGTTTCTCGTGCGTCCAAAAAAGGTATTCCTTATTCAAATCTTCAAACGAATCAAATTAGAATCTAATTGAGAACCAGATTCTTTTTTTAAATTTGATACTACAATGCCACGATTAGTTAAAAAAAAATCTGGGATCGTTTTTCGACTATTTCCAAATGACCGTAACGGAAGCGAGAAGTGAAGTGATAGAATTGAAATAAAACAATAATTACATCGATATTCAGGCTATTGAGGAAATTTACCAAAGCGAACGGCAACATGGCGGCGCGGTCTCCGAGCGGCGCCCCATCCGTCGTTGGCGACTGTTGTTGGGGCTGGACATACAGACACACAAACAAACTATTATTAGTATCCTTTTTAAGCTAATGTATAACTAAATACCTAGTTTTTCTTTACCGAGCAAAACGTAAGAGAATCCGTTTGAAGTGTGTGTTCTGGATATTGGAATGTAAGCGTCTTTATTCCCGTAGCTCCACACCTTGGAAGCTCTGTTTCGTCACAGAGCATTCCCAGACGTTATTTGTGCGGTCATATCTGTGAGCGACGGTGACGGTTCACCACTAGTGACGTCATCAACCCGTATTAGATGCATATATCCACACTATCAATGAGAGAGTGTATTTGTCCTTCTTTCCGTTGTTTTTTTTTTCCCCACCTATGCTGATAGCCTTGAGAGGCTATTTCAGCTTCACCCTAACGTGTATAGGTGAGCTCACGGGGCTCAAACCGGAGTGTTGCTAACACTGACCCTAGCTCTTGCTAGGGTGCACACTCAGCAGTGCTTTGCAGAATCTACCACCGGATCGGAAACGCAACCCACTGAGAAGATCCGGCGAGAAACTCAGTGGACTGTGTCTATGGGTTAATGCGCTCGTCGAGGTCTTCATCGCAAGCGACGGGTTCGACAAGGACGGTGACCGGTGCTTGTGGTGCCTAAAAGCACCGTTAATGGATCAGGAGGATCCGTAATTACGTGCTTTGGTGTCGTTGATAGTGTTAAGACATAGGCTACGTTTTATCCCAAACATACAATTCATTGCCAGCGGAAATCACATTGGCAATTTCTTTAAGCACGCGGGTAAAGCCACAAGTATCAGCTAGTACCTTAATAATCGATATCCGCCTCGGGCATTGAGCCGTTTTAGATATTCATATAGAATATTTACAAAAAAAGTAAAATAATATATATCTAATTACCAGTGCAAACGGAACAAGCGATCTCTCGCTCATCGTAGAATCAGCTGACGGCGACTGTTGCTGCTGACCGTGGACAGAGGCGGAGAAGCGTGCAAAAAAACGCAAGATTATTAAACACATATACATCGATTTCATTTCATGATTGTTTTACGAGCTCACAGGTCATTTAGTGATAAGCAGTGAAGTCATATTTATTGTATAACAGCAGCCCTCAAATAGAACCGTATCAGCTTAGTTAGAGAACCAAGCAGTATGATGGCAACTACCCATCTGGGTTTACAATAGAATCTAATTGTTTTTAATTCCACATAGTTTCTGCCTGTCTTGGAAGTCGTCCGTGAAAATATGTCAAGTACTTATTTCCTTAGATCAATTGGTAGCTTCTTTTTTTATTGCCCTTGTATATAGACGAGCATACGGCCCATGCTGATGGTGAGCGGCTACCGTCGCCCATGGACTTCAGCAATGCCTGGGGCAGAGCCAATCCGCTACCTAGCTAGCTGAGATTTAAACGCCGGTATGATCGCATCACTCGACACAAGTACGCTAAACATCCTATAGAACACGATAACTTGGTAACCATTGCGGGCAGATCAAGTTTTCTTTTCTTTTTTTTTTTGCTTAGACGACTGGACGAACTCACGGTCCACCTGGTGCTAAGTCGTTACCGGAGCCCATAGACATCTGAAATGTAAGTGCCGCCCACCGCGGGACATGAGTTCGAAGGTCTCAGTTTTTACAGTAACAACGGCTGCCCGACCCTTCAAACCGAAGCGCATTGCTGCTTTACGGCAGAAATAGGCAGGCTAGTGGTAGCCGTGCGGACTCACAAGACGTCCTAACGCCAGTGAAAGGTCGTTAATTTGGTATCTACGTAATCGTATTATAAAGGTTAAAATAGCGTTTTACCGACTCTGAGATTTATTATAAATGGACATTTAATCCTTCTAGAAAAAAGTGCTTAAATCTACAAGCCCCGACTAAGTTACGGTGGACTACACTGGTTTCCGTAAATAGTTATAAAGCTGTAGATTAGACATATGTATGTACATAAGTGCGCTTGGTATAATTCTTTGCAAACAAAAAAAACAAAGTTAAATAATTAATTGGGGTTTTAATCATAAATTCGTTTAGCGTACTTGAACTCGCAAAACGAACTCTCGAGAACGTAACAAAGAACAATATTAATAAATCAAAACAAAATTTAACTAGGCGTTACGAGGCAGTGAAAAAAAAACCACAAAACTGCAACATAGCTTCGAACCGTTAAATTCGCCAACACGAAAAAAAAATTATAATATTCCGAATGAATAAGAATTGAAACCGGGAAATAGAACCGGTTCGAAATTCAAACTTGACAATTTTAAAACAAAAAAATATGTTTGAAACGAGAACGGGATCCGCTGTAACGAACTGTCAACACCCCTTCGTGAAACAAAAGAGCGGTAGAAAAAAAAATTAATAAAAAATATTTGAAATCACAATTCCGCTTCCCCTAATCCTTGCCGTGGGAAATAGACAAATGCAAGGTGAGCGGTATCCGAAACTAATTTAAAATGGAATGTTCTTTAACCGTTTTTTTTTGTTTTTGTTTTAAAACTTTCATTCGAATTACGAATCCAAAGGCAATAGTCGGCTTAGAATCCGATTTATAAAGTTTTCTACGCGCAAGGAGTTTTGACTATTCTTTACCATGTCATCATTAAAATTTATCATGATCGAGACTAAACAATTTTTTTGTCAAAGTAATCTTCCAAATAATAACATGTTATAAATAATGAGATGACGTTTAATCGTCTTGGCGCACTAAAATTTCGTCACAATAAAACTGTAATTCGTTCATTTAGATTTATCATAATAATCGGTAATAACAAAACGGTTACATAACAGCCTAATCGAAAACGGAACGTGTAATAAAAGTTCGAAATTTAAAGGAAAGGTAATCGAACCCGTTAATAAGACATATGGCCAAAACAAACATTTGTCGCATTAAAAAAACAAACCGAAGACAAGTTGATCACAGCCTAATATCCGTATAATAGAATTATCACAGATTATTGTAATTTAAATATTCGTTTTTCGAAACCGGATGCGAGCCGAGGACAAAAACGATTTAATAACAAGTTTCAAGCAGCGGCCCCGCAACCCTTTCCTTGGTTCATCAAAAGACGCGCAATATGTTGCCCGACGTGTATCTTTTTTTTTAAGGAAGAAGGGATCATTTGAATTTCGAACGTGTTCTGTGAGACCTTTTTTGATTTTTCTGAGGTCAGTTCAACGAATATCTTACAGCGGAACAGACGTTCGATTTTTATTTGAATCACAAACATTTCCGAGGAGTTTAATAGTGATTGGCGCGTTCAATTGTGACGTCATAATTTTTTTTTGTTTCTACAAGTTTTGATGCCTATTTATATGTCCGATTTTTGAAGTATTGAGGAAAACGTTAGCAGACCTAAAGTTAAAATTCAGGTAAGTTTGAAACTCTTCCGCGCGTCTTTTCGCCGACGGAACAAGAAAAACTCGTAAAGAAAATTATAAGCTTCGTCGGGATCCAATTAACACTTTTCACCAATTACAAGTTGCGTTCGTTAATTGAATAATATCGTAACAATATGATTATGTGATATAATCTTTAATTTTTTTATTCCTATTTCATTGTAGTTTTTTTGCTAACTATATTTTTAACATATTTCTAGATTTAGAACAGACTTGTAGGAGAAAAATTGCGCGTATTTTTTTTGTAAATAAATTAATCACTCACCTGTATTTCGTTGACTAATTTTTCAGTGATCATCTTGTGGTCTGGAGTGGCTGGCGGCTGTGGGGTCGGTGGCGCCGGGCCTGGCTGGTTGTGGGCCTCCATGGGTTCGTGTGGGGAGGCTGGCCGGCTGCGACTCCAGAAGTCTTGCATCTTGAAGCGCTGCGGCTCAGGCGGCTGCAAGGTCGGGATGTGGAGAGACAGCGGCGCGGCTCTGAGGTCCAGCGCGCTGCCAGCCGCGGCTGCCTCGCCACTAGCTTCGGCTGCTGTCATCTTGAACGAGTTCTGCAACCAGCTGGCGACGAAGCTGTCCTCCTCCTTGGGAGGCTCCAGCAGGCGACCGTACGGCGGCGCAGGGCTCGGCTCAAAGGCGCCCTCGCCGCCGACCTGTTCGCCTTCCTCCGCTATTTTCGGTACTTTGGCCTCCCTCGGTGAACCCTCCTCTACCGCTTCCGTCTTCCGATACTCATGGAGGTCCCTGTACCTCTCCTGCAGCGCTAGGGATATGTTCTCATTGAAGTATTTCAACATTAATTCCAGTTTCGGACGTATGGTCACGACGAGGACATGCGATCTCTCGCGGTATCACTGCTGCAGCCCGGTGTCTCCGCGGACCTGCAAACAACGTGCGGCCTGTAACTTCGGAACGTTCGCGCGCGGTTCGAAAACTTTTTTTTTTTCAAAGAGTTCGCGTCACGTCACCCCCGGAAAAGCGAAGGTCAGGCCGAGGAAAGCGGAAGCGAGACCTCCTTGAGACGCGGGCGGGCGACGACTAACTTCTTGGTGGAAAACTTGAGCGTCGCGACGCTTTCTTGCGGGGTGGGGCGGACGCGCGCGCCTGCCGAAGACGCCGGTCCAACTAGCAAGACGCGGCGCCGCCCCCGCCGCCTTAGACGCGGCCAAGAACATCCCCACCGGCGCCGGGCGCACGCGCCCCGCGTTTTTTCCGCGGAAAAATGCGTCCGGTCAAGGAAAAGACGGCGCGGCCGGCGACCGACGGAGCCCGTGTGCGGCGCCCCGGCCCCCGCGCCCCGCCGGACACTCGGACTCGATTTCCCCAAAAACGCATCGCGGACCGCTCGGACCACGGCCGACATAACAACTATTAAAAGGGCGCTAAGGACGCCGCAGGGTGTTCGCCCCTCTCGCTCGACCGACCCCGTTTCCATCCTGCCCCTGCACGCCGAAGCGGGACGGATAGCTCTCCCCGTTTTTTTCTAAGCCGCTATTAGTAAGGGAGGAAATGAAAAAGAATCCGTTTCTTTGTGATTTTTTCTTAATGACATTCGTCTCGCTCGCACTCGCACGTTACGCATAGCTCTGTTTCGCGTGAAGTTTTTTTTCGGATTTCTTTTCGTGACGCCTCTTGACTGATTGCGTTTTTTTTTTCGTTCCAGGCGGGGCCTGGCGCGTGGGGCTAGCCAACGGTGTTAATGCTATTCAAGTTTTTCCTCTTTTACCTAAAATCGAGAAAACGTACGGGAAAATGTAAACTTTTTATTTCTACCGTCTCGTATACGGCGTGGGCGGAACTCTAAATCGGATAAGGAACTAAAAAAAAAAACAATTAATGCTTATTGATATTATTATTTGAAGTATTTAATGTCCATTCGTTTTTGGTGCCTAAAAAAATGTTTTAGTTTTGTGTTTTTGAATAACTTATTGGGAGGGTTCGTATCGAAATTTGAGAGGTTCTCAAGAAGTCCGTGAATATTTTCCGAGGAGGGAAACTGTTGTTTTGCTACCCCACGACAGATGGCGGACTAAGAGCCAAACCCTCAAGCTGAATTACATTGAATTCTTGCAATTTCGAAAATATTGCATTTAGAAAATATGTTTTACGAAGAAAATTACTTACAATTAAATAGCATTTGTGGTTTTTACTATTACTGAAATCAAATTATTATTTTTTTAGACTTTATAGCGTGTCGGGTTTGCTTTTATTAAATCGAATCAGTTCTGGTATTACCTATAGTTTTTGTTATGTTTTTTACTTATACCATTATACAATGGTGATGGTACTTAGTTATTTTAATAGAAAAATTAGCACACAAACATTACACAACATCAATATTTTTTAGTAATGTTTTTAGTTAAGTAATCTTTTGTCTGTTTAGCCGCACTCTTNTTATAGCGTGTCGGGTTTGCTTTTATTAAATCGAATCAGTTCTGGTATTACCTATAGTTTTTGTTATGTTTTTTACTTATACCATTATACAATGGTGATGGTACTTAGTTATTTTAATAGAAAAATTAGCACACAAACATTACACAACATCAATATTTTTTAGTAATGTTTTTAGTTAAGTAATCTTTTGTCTGTTTAGTCGCACTCTTATTATAATTACATGTAAATAATAAAGAAATATTTGTATTAAAAAACAATAAAAGATATCTCAATAAATGTTTCGATTCATCTTAGAATAAATGAAAATGTCCTTAGTTCAGTAATTCATATAACAGATGGCACTTGGCGACCGACCGTTCTAAAAAAATATTCGAAAATCGTGCTTGCCAATGATTTTTGCCGTTCCTAGTTTTAATTAATAAATTTTTTTTCAAACTCGGAAGTCGTGGTGACGTTATTACTGTCAAATGTCAAAGTATCTTAATGTCAAAGTATACTCAGCCAATTCCAAAGAGGTCCAGCGAAATAAGGATTATTAAGGACTTAGTTATTTTGAACGTATTGTTTTAAACGGATTTTTTTAACTCTTCAGCTATTGTTGATATGAAGATAAGGAAAGATGGAACAATGTAGTACTAATTCCGAATTCGTTTTATTATATTAACTAACTTCAATAATTAATGAATAGACATTTGCTTTATTGGAAAATCGACATTAAAAAAAAACAGTATTGCTTTTATGCATGTAATCTTGGTTACTTTTTTTATTACCTTTATAGGCAGACAAGCATACGGTACTGCTTACCTTTAAGTACTCTCCACAATTCACACTTATTAAGGCAAGATAATGAAAGTGTTGTAAGTATATTCATCGGCCTATGACGTTTGTGAAATTTTTCCAGTTAATCGGTTAGTCTTTTTGACAATTATCAATTTCTCAATAACAAGCTAATGTTCTATGCCAGTAGTTTTGAATCCAATTTCATGATAACTTAATTAGTATGTCTAATAGATAAATAATTTCTGCAACCAAACTTAAAGGGTCAAAGGTGAACTTGACCTTTTCTGGGCGTATTTATAGCAGACTTGTTATTTTTAATTTTGGATAACTTAAAAAAAAATCGATTTTCTTGTCCGTATTTACTTTAGTTAGCGTGTTGCTGAGTGAAAAAAAGTTTGGGATATACTGTAAGTTTTTTTTTATGATTGAAAGATTACTGGTGGCCCGGAGGCCTTTCCAGTTTCACCAGGACAGGTGGGCGAGCAAAGGCTCAGCCAGGAGGGCTGGGATTTGCTAACAGCTGCCCGAGCGCCTCCGAAGGAGACCTAACAACTCAAGAGCAGCTGCTTTGCAAATGAATCAACTACCGGATCCGAATCGCGACCCGCTGAGAAGATCCGTCGAGAAACTCAGCCGGCTGATGTATGGGCTAGGTTGCACGTCGACCTCTTTGTCGAGTTCGACGAGTACCTACTATTACCGGTAACCCTAAGCCTGCTCCTAGTGTTAGAGCTGAAGGCGTCTAATGCAAATGATGGATCCGTAAGGATGTGATATTGTAAATTCAGCCTTATAATCAGTTTAGAATGATATCGATTTATAATTTGGAAAATCGATCATATTCACCAGCTACAAAATAGTTTGAGTCCAAATGCTTCAGCAATAAAGCTTCTTGAAAATCGTGCCCGATCGACTCACGTCACAATCAAACGTAAACGACCCTTTCAAATCAGCCGTCTCAATTGAGACGAAAATTATTCTAGAAATTTCCGACACACTTTAAACAAATTTTTTTATTGCTTAGATGAGTGGACGAGCTCACAGCCCACCTGGCGTTAAGTAGTTACTGGAGCCCATAGACATGTACAACGTAAATGCGCCAGCCACCTTGAAATATAAGTTCTAAGGTCTCAGTATAGTTACAACGGCTGCCCCACCCTTCAACCGAAACGCATTACTGCTTCACGGCAGAAATAGGCAGGGTGTTAGTACCTACCCGTGCGGACTCACAAGAGGTCCTGCCAACAGTACTGTATACCGTTTTTTTTTAAATACTGATATTGTACTGTAGCTTATATAGCTGTTTTCCGTGGCTTCTATGTAAAAACAAATTTACGCTATTTCCACTTGGCTCTCCGGGACCCACGCCTTTAAGTATCTACGGTGTACAAGAAGCCTTAAACAATTACTAACACTAGTGGTCCCTCAGTAATCGAAATTCGGCCATAATTAATTGGAATTATAAGTTTGAACATTATTATGGTTCTATTGTCAAAGATCATACTTCGACATTTAATCACAGATTTCGCCAAGGTCACTATAGACAGATCTATATATTAATACGTGAAGCAAAAACTTTGTACCCTTTTTATGAAAATTGCGCGGACGGAGGAGTATTTCCCACACTTATAGAGAATATAGAGAAGGAGTGCAGAATGTTAATACTTTTTTTTAATGATGCATAAAAAACACATTAAATCAATAAAAAAACATTACACACACTACCATCTATTTGACACACACACGCACTTAGACATGTATACTTTGTTTATTGTCAAACTTTTATTATTTAAAGTCTGAGGTCAAATTGAGAATAGGTTACTATTGTTTATCTTAAATATTATTTGTCTAAAATGTAGTATTGGCGAAATCTGTGAATAAAGAAGTAAAGTCTTTGACAAGAGAACCATAATAATGTTCAAACTTACAATTTAACTTAATTATAGTCGAATTTCGACTATTGCGGGACCACTAGTAATATTAAAGACATACAATATTAATATATGCTCAATTTGACCACAGACAACAATAAACAAAAAGAATATATATGCGTGTATGTGTCAAATATATGGTAGTATGTGTAATGGTTTATTTATTGATTTAATGTATTTTCTATGCATAATTTGAAAAGTTCTTAGCAATCTGCACTCCTTCTCTATATTCTCTATAAGTGTGGGTAATTTCATACTCCTCCGTCCGCGGAATTTTCGTAAAAATGGACACAAAGTTTTTGCTTCACGCATTAATATATAGATTCAAGACGACTCATCAAATAGTCATAGAGTTTAGTTAATGATTTAATAACACGTTTAGTACGAATGAAGCCACACCCATCTTGCTGTTTAGACACAATTATAATTCCGAGGTCATGAAAGAATGTAATCACAATTAATGACACAAACGAATACAGGAATTTGATTATTATTGTGAGCCTATAAAGCGCAAATTACTTTGATTTAAACAGATAATGTCAAGAAATCATTAATGCGCGTGACACAGGGCAAGCGTTGCGATAGTTACGCGATGGAAAATAATCTATCTATATATATAAAAATGAATTACTGTTCGTTAGTCTCGCTAAAACTCGAGAACGGCTCAACCGATTTGGCTAATTTTGGTCTTGAATCATTTGTGGAAGTTCGGAGAAGGTTTAAAAGGTAGATAAATATGAAAATGCTCGGAATGAAATAAAAATAACAATTTTGTT